GAAAAGTTTTGAATTTATTTATAAATTTTTTTATTATGTAAATGTATAGTTAAAAATGAGCATATAGAAAAAAGAGTTTTAAAAGTAATGTTTATCAAACTGATTGAAAACATTATGTCTGTATTTTTATACCTTAATTTTGTAATTGAGAAGAAATCTAAAGATAGATTTATAAATTATAAGGGAAATTGACATAAAATTTACTTAACATATGACCCTTGTGAGCAAGTGGTCTCCAACCTTCTTTTCTCATCCTATTTTTCTGTGTGGAAAAAGTTCTTGTGGATGATTTACATTCATTATTGCCTTTAAGAGTGCGTTTGATTGCGAACGTGAAATTTATATGGAAAGAAAATAAATTATAAACAATTCAATTATCTAGAACTTATTTGTATGGAAATTATTAATTAAATGTGTTTGATTGATTTAGTTTTCAATCTAAAAAATATTAGACTTGTCCATTTTTTTATTGGTGGATAGATCAGAGAGAGAGAGAGTGAATTACCTGAAAAATAAAAACCATCACTCCTTAAAGAAAATGTTTTCCTTATTTTTGAGGAAAATATGGTCAAGCGACCAAAGTTGTCAAAAATTCCTTTTGATTCCCCAATTTCAATAAAAGTACGCTGCAAAAGTATATACAAGGAGAAAATAATACCATTCAGAGAAATATGGGAATTAAGACATTTACCAAATTTGATATATAATTATACCTGCAAGAATTGATGGATGGGATGTGTTACTTGTACATTATGGTATCCATAATGTACAAGTAGACAAATCCTTGATGGAAACCATTCGAAAAGTCTTTTTGCGCATAATCAATACGATGAGGGGTCAATGCCAAGAATGAAACGTTAGGGACCATTTGTGCACAAGGACCATGTGCTAGGGATTATTCGTTCCAATTTTTTTAAAATTTAATGGACCGCAAACCTCAATAAATTAGATATCACTTAGAGCCTGTTTGATCTTCACTTTTTTGTCTAAAATGCATTTTGGGATAATATTTTAATGAAAAATATGTGATTAAAAAATTCTAGTTTGTATATAGTATTATTTTATTGAAAAATGTGTAGTTAAAAATAAGAGAAAAAAAATATATTTTAAAAATAATGGGATCAAATAGGGACTATGCAAACCATCAATTAAAAGAGGATAAATTTGTACAGATATGGCGTAAACATATAATTACAATAAATTATAATTTACTCTCTCTTTTATAATTTTTATTTGGGATGAGCTGTTGTGCCAAGTCGGTAAAAGACCTGGCACA